CATGTAAGTTTGTTTAAAGATTTAGCAAAAGAACAAAAAAAAATCTAACAAAAAAGGCCGGTTATATTTTACATGAAAAAATTGCATGAATATATCCCAAATCTTAAAATCTGATAATAAGATTCTTCTATAATTTGTTATTCATTTAAAAGCATTATATATCATTTGTTACATCATCTTTATTAATTTTATGTATTTACCATATAACTATAAATATGTGTAAATTTTATTAACCCGGAACCAGTAGTTCTACTGGCAAACTCTGCGATCGAAAGGGTAGAGATCCATATTTTAGTACAGTTTGGAGATGGAGAGGGATTAAATAAAATCTGCTTTTATCTCGCGCTAGAATAGATTACGAACCTAAGATCCAAAATTTTTAGGATTTAAAAAAAAAACTTTTATCATTATCGCCAAAATAGTTATAAAAAATTATCCTCTTAACAAAAGAAGTAAAAAAAAAAAACGAAATTATCGACATTGAATTTTCTTTTTTTAATTAACAACAAAATCGATTTATACCATGCATATTCTACTATTATACCTATATTCCTATATATTTTACTCCAACCACTATTCAGAACAAAATATTTCGTCAGCACAAAATATTTACTAATGAGAATATTCCTAACACTTAAACGTCGAGTTTTTCTATATAAATGAAAACAAAAACTAGTTACCATTAACAACTAAACGAGATTCATAGAGCAAACAGAAATTAAAACATGAAGAATCTCAATCTCTTCATACTCCCCGTAGTTGTGTTCTTAACCATCACCACCGTAATCAACGGTGGAATAACAAGCGAATATGTCCGTCAAGCTCAACCATCCGTCGAGATGCCTCTCGAAACCTTCCCTTCTCCTCCTGGTTACAATGTTCCTGAACAGGTTTTGTTTTTTCATTCTTAATTTTTCTTAATATATAGTCTTTCTTAATTAAACCTTCAATTTGTAAATGTCGTTTTTTTTGTATATTGTTATGTTTTCTAGGTTCATTTAACGCAAGGAGATCACGATGGACGCGCAATGATCGTTTCGTGGGTCACTCCATTGAATCTAGCCGGTTCTAACGTCGTTACTTATTGGATGGTCGTTAATAGTTCTACCTCCACTAACAGTAGCGACGTGAAGATGGCAAAGAAGAAAGCTCATGGTTCTACGTCTTCTTATAGATTTTATGACTATACTTCTGGTTATCTTCATCACGCTAACATTAAAGGACTTGAGGTTTGTATACTTTATAGTATTTATAACTTGTCACAAATGTAACTTGTCATAAAATATTATGGTGTCTTGATTTACGTGTCAGTACAATACCACATACATTTATGAGGTCGGTAGCGATCAGTCTGTGAGACAGTTCAACTTCACAACACCTCCGGCTGTTGGACCTGATGTTCCATACACCTTCGGAATTATTGGTAAATCTTTCGAAAACTAGATTTGAAATTAGGGTTTTCTTATCGACGATCTAATGACTCACTTGTGTTTCTTAGGTGATCTTGGACAAACCTATGCTTCTAACGAGACATTGTACCATTACTCAAACCCTAAAGGCCAAGCCGTTCTCTTTGCTGGTGACTTGTCTTACGCAGACGACCACCCAAACCATGACCAAAGAAAGTGGGATACTTTTGGAAAATTCCTTGAGCCTTGTGCTGCTTACCAGCCTTTTATCTATGCCGCAGGGAATCATGAGATCGATTTTGCTCCAGAAATTGTAAGATTCACTTTTAAGTCTTTTTCGTAATTCGGTTTAGTTTCGGTCTAATTGCGATTTGGAAATGTAATTAGGGTGAGCCACATCCTTTCAAGCCCTACATGCACCGTTACCCTAACGCATACAAAGCCTCAGGGAGTATATCTCCTCTTTGGTACTCAGTTAGACGCGGTCCTGCTCACATTATCGTCCTCTCTTCTTACTCTGCATACGGTAAACGAAAACATACGAAACCCTAAAAGATTTTGAAGTTTTCTTTTGTAACACGTTATCTTTGATTCAGGCAAATACACTCCACAGTACCTATGGCTTCAGCAAGAACTAAAGAACGTGAACAGAGAGGAGACTCCATGGTTGATTGTGATGGTTCACTCTCCTTGGTACAACAGTAATAACTACCATTTCATGGAAGGTGAAAGCATGAGGATTATGTTTGAGTCGTGGTTCGTGAACAGCAAGGTCGATTTGGTCTTGTCTGGTCACGTCCATGCCTATGAAAGATCCGAACGTGTGTCTAATATCAAGTACAACATCACCAATGGCTTGAGCACTCCTGTGAAAGACCCTAATGCTCCTATTTACATCACAATCGGTGATGGAGGTAACATTGAAGGAATTGCAAACAGGTAAACCAAAAGAAAATGTTTTGGTGATTTTTGTTGTTGTTTGTTTCGGTACTATAACACTGTAGATCATTGTTTCTTTGGTTTTGCAGTTTTACTGATCCGCAACCAAGTTACTCGGCATATAGGGAAGCTAGTTTCGGTCATGCGGTTTTGGAGATCCACAACCGAACTCATGCGCTTTACACATGGCATAGAAACCAAGACAATGAACCTGTTGCAGCTGATTCTTTCATTGTGCGTAACCGATACAACTTATTGGACGACGAGAGGATTTAAGTTCTTGGTTTTCTTGATTTGCTTTAGGATTAGA